CTTCTCTCTTTCTTCTTCTTCTTCTTCTTCTTCTTCACTCAAGAACTTTGTCTTCTGTCTATCTAATTCTCTCTACAAATCTCATAGTGTGAGATAAAAGAGATAAAATGATTAAAACTAAAAGGAAAAGGAGTAGTGAAACGGATTTAAAAAATAAATAAAAAATACATTTTTTTATTCTTAAAATATTATTTAATACATAAAGGGAAATCTAGTCATTTTTCGTACCATTTAACGGTCGGTTAATAGAATTTTGGATGTAAGGGTATGTTTGTTAGATTTTGATAATAGAAGGGTACGTTTGTGAAAAAAAAGAATAGAAGGGCATGTTTGTTAATTTGTAATAGTACAGGGTATAAAATACTCTTAACCCTTTAAGATATGATAGTAGTTTGTGTGTATTGTTTAACTAACTATTGGCGACCAATTTGTAAATTGTTCTACCTCATTCATCTGATGCATGTAATTCCAAATTTATACTCCGTGCAATGATGCTAACAAAGATGACTATTGAGGAAAATTATTTCATGGATATTCTAAACTTCATAAAAAACAAACCTTTTATATTGCTAAGACCTCATGGAAAACAACTCTTATGTTGTTCTTTACCAACTTTTTATATCAATAATACTTTTCTTACAAATATGTAGTTGACTTAGAGAATGAATATAATGTATATTGAAAAAAAAGAAAACCCCCAGCGGAGCCATTCCCTGTGCACCAAGACACATTTCACTGTACATCGTGACTCATAAGCACTGTTTCGACTAGGATGGGACTATGGTGCAGGCGGCACACAAGTGAGGGCTCTCGAGTTCTACGACCCTATGCCACGTGTACCTTTTGCTGCTTCGGGTGGAGAGAGGGATATCGTGATGATGGAGACTGAAGTTCTTTCTGAGCCTGCAAATGCAACTGAGGGGGACTGATGAGAGACGTCAAGGGAGAAAAGATGAGGAGATAGAAGCTTTTTTAGCATGAAAGTAGAAGAGAGAAGATGAGAGGACTGATGAAAGGAGAGAGGTCAGAGATATTTTGTTTCTTTTCTTGGTGGATTTAAGCACCACGTAGCCCAATTGAGGGTTTAATTTTCAGCTGCTTATTTGAACTACCGGCGCAGTGTTCTATTTTCTGTCACCGAGGTCAGAGATCTTGAATATCTCTCCCGCTTTCTCTTTTTTGTGTAGGATTACTCCCTCTTTCTCTTAGTCCTCTCTCCCCCTCTCTTAATCCCCCATCTATATTTTCCCTTCCCTCTCATCTTCCCACTCCCAATCTCTTTCTTCGGAGGACACTCGCTCAGCGAGTTGAGAGCCGATGATAGCAGCACTGTTGGAAATGTATATGAATAGCTTTGAAAGCTATAGAGTCTCTAGTTGGTTGGTTCACTTGAGACTATAGAAATTCCGAACGAAATTAATTATCCAATAATTAATTATTAATCGGTTACAACGGAGTATTCGAAAGGATAATCCCTTCGGGTTCTTAACCGACGGTTTTAATTAAGGACGTAATTAATCCGACGGAATTAAGGACGTAATTAATCCGACGGAATTAAGGACGTAATTAATCCGACGGAATTAAGGACTTAATTAATCCGACGGAATTAAGGACGTAATTAATCCGACGGAATTAATTAATCCGGCGGTTTATCTTCCTTAATTAATCCTACTTATTCCCAAGCAAGAGGGTATATTCCTAGGGGTTCAGCGCCTATAAATAGCTGCCTCCCCAGCCCCTCTAAACACAACACATAACGAGCAGAAACACAATAGAGAGAGTGTTTAGAGAGCTTCGGTTTTCGCACAAAACCGCGAGTATTGAGAGGAGCTGTTTTATCCTGGAGACGACCGGTTGATAGTCTGCTGTGCGCACCGAAGGCAGTGCCGCGAACGTCTTAAAGAGAGCGACCTAGTCCGCGACTCAGCTCCAGATTCGGTAACCTTGTTCCTATAGTTGTTCCGTTCCTAACAATTTTAAGACGTTCGGCTGCTGCTATGTCGACTGAACAGAACAACATGGCCGGATCTGGTGCTGTCGATATCAATCGACCCTTTCGCTTCGTTGGGGTCAACTTCCGTCGCTGGAGGCAAAAGATGGAGTTCTACCTCACGACCAAAAAGCTGGCCCACTGTCTCACCAACATGCCCGTCGAGCTGCCGGAAGAAGCGACCGATGAGGAGAGGGCTGCTGCTGCCAAAGAAAGGGAGCATGACTTCCTGTGCAAGAACTACATCCTCAACGGCCTGGCAGACGATCTCTACGACTACTATGCGGACAATAAGAACACCGCAATGATGATCTGGGATGCGCTCCAAAAGAAGTACGACACGGAGGAGGCTGGAGCTAAGAAGTATGCTGTCAGCCGCTACCTGCGCTACCAGATGGTGGATGACAAGTCCGTCGAAGTTCAGTCCCACGAACTTCAGAAAATAGCTCATGAGATCGTCTCTGAAGGTATGCCTCTGGACGATCAATTTCAAGTTGCTTGCATTATTGATAAGCTGCCCCCTTCGTGGAAAGATTTTAAGAATATGCTTAGGCACAAAACCAAAGAATTTTCACTGGAAAGTTTGATTACTCGGCTAAGGATTGAGGAAGAGTCCCGAAAGCAGGATATGAAAGAAGAGGTGATGGTCGTCACTGCTAAACGACCCACCCCTAGAGCTCTTAAACCTAACCAGAAAGGGTTTAAGAGTAAGAACCAGCAGGTCCGCCTCCACCAGAATGGTGCCTCTCGAGGTAACCAAAGGGTCATGGTCCAAACCTCTAAGAATGACCCACCGTTTATCTGCTATAACTGTGGAAAACCGGGTCATATGGCAAAGAAGTGCCGGAACAAGCAAAACCGTGCCGCTGCGGCCAGGGTTAACTTGACAGAAGAGGATATGATAGCCATGATCACAGATATGATCGCTGAAGTTAACCTCACCGGTGACTCAGAAGGATGGTGGCTGGATACAGGTGCATCGAAGCATGTATGCAACAATCGTGCTATGTTTAAAACATACACAGAAGCACCTGCTAACAAGAAAGTATTGCTGGGGACAACTCACACCACTATGGTTGCTGGTTCTGGTGAAGGGGAGCTGAACTTCACCTCTGGGAAGAAGATGGTGCTCAAGGATGTGTTGCACACTCCAGAGATAAGGAAGAATCTTGTTTCGGGATATCTTCTTAATAAGGATGGGTTTAATCAAACTATTGGGGCAGACTTGTATACCCTTACTAAGAATGGGAGTTTTGTGGGAAAGGGATATGCATGTAATGAGATGTTCAAATTGAATGTCGAAATTAATAAGATGAATTCTTCAGTTTACATGGTGTGTGATTTGAATGTTTGGCATGCTCGTCTTTGTCATGTGAACACACGAATTGTGAAGAATTTAAGCAAGCTAGGACATATCCCTAAACTCTCAATGAATGAATTTGATAAATGTGATTTCTGTAGCCAAGCTAAAATAATGAAAACGCCCCATAAATCTGTGAGTAGAGAGTCAGAACCCTTAGATCTGATTCATTCTGATATTTGTGAACTAGATGGGACGTTAACTAGGTCTGGCAAGAGATACTTTATCACTTTCATAGATGATTGCTCTGATTATTGCTTTGTTTATTTGATGAAAAACAAAAGTGAAGCCCTTGATATGTTCAAGGTATTTGTGGTTGAATTTGAAAACCAGTGCAATCGAAAGATAAAAAGACTTAGGAGTGATAGAGGATCAGAGTATGACTCTAATCCCTTCAAGGAATTCTATAGCTCACATGGTATCATTCATGAAACCACGGCACCATATTCACCAGAAATGAATGGTAAAGCTGAGCGGAAAAATAGGACGTTTACAGAATTAGTTGTGGCTATTATGCTCAATTCTGGAGCTGTTTCTTCTTGGTGGGGTGATATTTTGTTGACAGTTTGCTATGTGCTAAACCGTCTTCCAAAGACGAATAGAAAAGAATCACCCTATGAGATCTTGAAGAATAAGCCACCTAATCTGTCCTATTTAAGAACGTGGGGCTGTTTGGCCTATGTAAGAATTTCGGATCCTAAGAGGGTTAAATTGGCTAGTCGAGCATATGAATGTGTCTTCGTTGGCTATGCGGCCAATAGTAAGGCATATAGATTCTATGATTTGAATGCTCGTACTATAATAGAATCCATTGATGCTGATTTCTTTGAGACACGATTTCCATTTAAAACGAGAAATAGTGGGGGTAATGTACTACCCGCTATTAGAGATAACGGAACTAGTGGGGGTGTTGGTTCTGAGGATGAACTCAGAAGAAGTAAAAGAGCCAGAATATCTAAAGATTTTGGTGATGACTTTACTACAGTATTCACCCTCGAAGATCCAAAAAGTTTGCAGGAAGCATTAACTTCCGTAGATGCAGATTTTTGGAATGAGGCCGTTATAGATGAAATGGAATCGTTGGAAGCTAATAAGACTTGGCATCTAACAGACTTACCTCCTGGCTGCAAAGTCTTAGGTAATAAATGGGTTCTAAAAACGAAACGGAAGCCTGATGGTGCAATCGAAAGGTCCCGAGCTCGCCTAGTAGTTAAGGGCTACAGGCAGAGAGAGAATATAGATTTCTTCGATACCTATTCACCAGTATCTAGAATAACATCCATTCGTGTAATGATTGCTCTTGCTGCCTTGAACAATCTCGTGGTACACCAAATGGATGTTAAGACCGCTTTTTTGAACGGTGATCTGGATGAAGAAATCTATATGGAACAACTAGAAGGGTTTGTTATCCCCGAACATGCCTCGAAAGTCTGTAAGTTAGAAAAATCATTATATGGTTTGAAACAGGCTCCAAAACAGTGGCATGAGAAGTTTGACACTCTCGTTCTCTCACATGGCTTTAAGGTGAATGAAAGTGACAAGTGTATTTACTGCAAGTCAGAAAATAACACTTGTACTATCATATGTTTGTATGTAGATGACATGTTGATATTTGGTACAAATATTCACGTGGTCAATAAAGCAAAAAACATGTTGAAAGAGAGCTTTGAAGTGAAATATCTGGGAGAAGCAAAGTTTATGCTTGGAATCCAGATAACTAGAACAGCAAATGGTTATTCTCTAGATCAATCTAGCTATATAGAGAAGATCTTGAAGAAATATAACTATTTCGACTGTAAACCTGCGTGTACTCCGTATGATGCTAGTGTAAAGCTATTTAAGAACACTGGAGAAAGTGTAAGACAATCAGAATATGCTAGCATCATTGGCAGTCTCCGTTATGCTGCGGATTACACTCGACCAGACATTGCATATGTCGTGGGATTGCTTGGCAGGTTTAACAGCTGTCCTAGTAGAGAGCATTGGAATGCTATAGAGAGGGTCATGAGATTCCTCAAGAGAACAGTAAACCTTGGTATACACTATCAAAGGTTTCCTGCTGTACTAGAAGGGTATAGTGATGCGGATTGGAATACCCTATCAGATGACTCCAAGGCAACTAGCGGGTATGTTTTCAACATTGCTGGTGGAGCTGTGTCTTGGAAGTCAAAGAAACAAACAATCCTAGCTCAATCAACTATGGAATCAGAGATGATAGCATTAGCAACGGCTAGTAAAGAAGCATGTTGGTTGAGAGGATTGTTGTCAGAGATTCCCCTATGGGAAAGGCCGGTCCCTCCGGTATTGATCCATTGTGATAGTACCGCAGCTATCGCTAAAGTTGAGAACCGGTTCTATAACGGAAAGAAACGATAAATTCGTCGTAATCACAGTACTGTAAGAGAACTCCTAACGATAGGAGCAGTGAGGGTGGATCATATAAGATCCGAACAGAATCTAGCTGATCCTTTGACGAAAGGATTACCTAGAGAGAAAGTTCAAAATACCGCCAAGGGTATGGGACTTATGCCTACCGAACCACGGACTACAAGTGATGGTAACCCGACCCAATAGACTGGAGATCCCAAGAAATAGGTTCAATGGGTAATAACAAGTCATGAGTAGTATGCGAAAAGTTCATGCATAGTGAAGCATGAATCCCAAAGCATTGGAGGTTGAGTTAATAACTCTTAATGAGATCTATACCCTATGTGGGGTGGAGTACTTTACTTTGGGGGTACTCTTGATAGACTCACCTATGTGAATGTGGGAGTGGGGCCGCTCCCTATGGCACTTTGGAGGCACAAAGTTGCTAGAGCGTTCACTAAACCAGGGTAACGTGCAGGGCCATAAACGCACTGGCTATGAAGAGAACACAACTCAATGAAAAGATCCGGTGTGCTGCACTGTCTGAGATAGGGTTCAAGACTACGAGTCACCCTTATGAAATCGGAAGTGTAACCACTACGCTAAGGTTCAAATCTTCGCGATACCTTAGCTTATGCCCGATCTTATGGAACTGTTGATGCTCAGAGATAGTTTCAAAACTATTCAAGTGGGGGATTGTTGGAAATGTATATGAATAGCTTTGAAAGCTATAGAGTCTCTAGTTGGTTGGTTCACTTGAGACTATAGAAATTCCGAACGAAATTAATTATCCAATAATTAATTATTAATCGGTTACAACGGAGTATTCGAAAGGATGATCCCTTCGGGTTCTTAACCGACGGTTTTAATTAAGGACGTAATTAATCCGACGGAATTAAGGACGTAATTAATCCGACGGAATTAAGGACGTAATTAATCCGACGGAATTAAGGACGTAATTAATCCGACGGAATTAATTAATCCGGCGGTTTATCTTCCTTAATTAATCCTACTTATTCCCCAAGCAAGAGGGTATATTCCTAGGGGTTCAGCGCCTATAAATAGCTGCCTCCCCAGCCCCTCTAAACACAACACATAACGAGCAGAAACACAATAGAGAGAGTGTTTAGAGAGCTTCGGTTTTCGCCCAAAACCGCGAGTATTGAGAGGAGCTGTTTTATCCTGGAGACGACCGGTTGATAGTCTGCTGTGCGCACCGAAGGCAGTGCCACGAACGTCTTAAAGAGAGCGACCTAGTCCGCGACTCAGCTCCAGATTCGGTAAACTTGTTCCTATAGTTGTTCCGTTCCTAACAATCAGTAGTCACCGGTGTTGGTCACCCCCTCACACACGATCGTCGTAGGTTATAGTCCCTCCCTCACGGTTTAAGGTCTCACTCCCTCTCCCTGTCCTTACATCAGCCATGGACTTGCTAGTCTTTAGAGTGTTTTTAATCCTCTCTGTTTGTTTGGATTTTTGTTTGTCATGCTGTTGACAAATCTGATCTGCGGCTTCCAGGAAGCAGATGTGGTATCTCAGGTCCTTTGCACGCAGAGGAAATGAGGTATACAACGACTCCCCAAGGAGAAGGGTGAGATCTCTTTGTACTATTCGTTTTTCTCTACTTTATTCGTGCTTTCTTTTTCAATTTCCAGTTTATTTCTCTAAGCTCTTTTGTGCATGTTCCCTTCTGTTAACAAGAATATATTTACTTATCTTTTTAGGAAGCCATCGCAGCTTGGAGTGATCAAATGATGTCTTTCAGAGGACTTGGAAGGATTATGACCCTGATTTTTTTTTTTGGATATTGTGGCTGTTCCTCTCTCCATCTTCATTTGATTCGTTTTGCACTAATGATTTGTTGTAAGGAGATGCTGGCGTGTTCAGTGTTCTAAATTTGTTTCTAGAGTTTTTCCGCCAGTGGTGGGGTTGCCCGCGATCATGGAGCCGTTTGAGAGGTGTGGCTACGTACCAGAGAATATTTGGACATGGTGCATGTCTTTGGTATCAGGTAATTTCTATTTGTCGGCTAAATCCATCTGTTTAATATTTCCCCCCTCTGATGATTTCATGTATACGTGATCCACTATAATAGGCATCTCTGAAAGAACGGGATCCAAGGCTTTGCTTCTCGGTTCCTAAAGTCGTCATGCCAGGGAATTGGAGTAGTTGCGGGAGTGGATGAGTTTCTGGTGATGTTTTCCTCGACGTCTGTCTATCTATTTTGACTTTTATGACTGCTTTTGTCTGTTTGTTGTTAGCTAATCTCGCTGCTCAACCCATTCTTTGTTACAGTTGGGTTTTGTGTGACAAGCAGTAGGTAGTAAGGATAAATGGAGGCAGGGTATGACTATATATATATGCTATGTAACGCTGCCAGTTGGATTGGTGTTTACCAAATCCAAGTAGGTCGTGTGTCATGGGGTGTCCAGTTTTGTTTTTGTGGGAATTAACATGTAATTTTAGTTAATCTTTGTTGATGAACTTTGCTCTGCTGCAGTCTGACTACAAGGTTAGTGTTTATAGTTTTGGCATTTAACCTGGTGTCACTCTGTAGTTCTGATTCTTTCTCTTCTATACTCAGATTCAAGTTAACCATTTGCATATAGTTTACATTCTTTCATTCCAAATTGATTTTTCTTATGTGCTATCTATTTGAAATAGCAAAAGCGAGCTCCAGAAATTGACCTTCCATGTTAGAATTGGTGCTTATATGGCGTTGGAAGGTAAGAATGTGATGATTGCAGCTATATGGAGAAATCTAATTAATGTGAGAACACTTTCAGATGGTGAACTCAATGCTTGGCCTTCCAGTGACTCAATGCTTGGCCTTCCATAATTGTGCTTATGGATGTGTAGGCTTTGTCCAGAACCCATTAGGTGCTCCTGACATAAAGACATATTTTTTATTTGGTTTCTGACTATGGTTAGTTGTAGCTGATCCCCTAGAATTATTTTGCCTTATTAATAATTTATAGGGCTTTCTGTTTGAGTAGTTCTCGAATTACTTTGTATCTGCGTCATTACTATCTTCCTCATTCTCTGTTGACTTCATGTGGCATGATTAATCATTTAATCTACTTTAACAATTTTCTCTTTACCTTTGACATCAATATATAATAATACTAGTCCCTTCGGGGACATCCGATAAAATTGGAACGATACAGAGAAGATTAGCATGGCCCCTGCGCAAGGATGACACGCATAAATCGAGAAATGGTCCAAATTTTATATTCGTAAAAAAATATATATATAATAATACTAGTTTCTTACCCGACCTGTTGGCCGGAGAGTTTTATTATCATTTATATCAATTGATTTATCTGTATGTTTAAAATATTTTGAATCACCTACATTTTTATAATCTCACTCTATAAGCTAGTATGTGATATGCCTATATTAAAAATTCTCAATACTTAGCATACTCACCTATGATGCTATTATTCTCTAATAAAAAATAATATCGTGAAGATTTATCACATCCCATTTAGTATAGCATATCAAGATTTTTCAAACCAAGACACTCAAATTTATTATATTATACAACATATAACAATTCGTGATTCTCGAGTCAGGACAAACTCGAAACCAATTTATTATATTTATACAACCATTAGGACATTTTCCATATATATGGATTCATGGATGTATTGTAGACACATCTATTGTTAATATCTAAGCATATGTAAAGAGTTTAATTTACTTTTTAATCATAGTTAATACCTTCAAACTTTGCTCGATCAGTGGAATATGAAAGAAAAATTATGACTATGATAACTCGATTTAAATACAAATTGTTTCATGTTACAAACTAAAATATTTTTGTTTTGACATTTTAATATTAGAACATTTTTGTTACTACCAAGATTTGGTATGCAGTCACAGGCTCACAACCGTACTACCAAATGACTTATTACAATTGGCTTGTTGAACTCATCCTTATTAAAGATTCTTCATTTTTAACCCAATAACTCGGATTATAATTTGTAACTATAAATGCTTTTGGTGTAGATATCTCAACCAACAAACATATGTTTAGTTATTGTATTAATACTCAAGTTTAAATTTTTCTACCAATACATTCAATTATTAAACCAAAATTGTCAGCTTTTGTTTGATCAATGCACAGGTTAGTGGTTGATGATACGTGATGTTTACTGTACATCATCTACAAATACTTCTCTAACATTCACATGTGTCATATAATACTTGTACATCGTCAAGTTTCTATCCAAATCTTTTGTATTATAATACTTGCTATATTTGATAGACGTATACATTAGAAATGAAAAAAGTTAGTTAATGATCAATTAATGTAGCTATATCTATCTTCTTTTAATATTTGTTTTTGTTTTAATGATCATTTATGTAGCTATCTCTATCTTCTTTTAATGTTTTCTTTTTTATTCAATAATTGTTTTTTCAATATATAGGTGTAGCAATAATATACTTATGTTTGTTGGAAGAGTGACATATATTTTAATCCTTTAAAAATATATTTGATTAAATCTGATCAATTAAATATGATCTTTTATAGTATAATACTTGCTATATTTGATAGACGTATACATTAGAAATGACAAAAAGTTAGTTAATGATCAATTAATGTAGCTATATCTATCTTCTTTTAATATTTATTTTTGTTTTAATGATCATTTATGTAGCTATCTCTATCTTCTTTAAATGTTTTCTTTTTTATTCAATAATTGTTTTTTCAATATATAGGTGTAGCAATAATATACTTATGTTTGTTGGGAGAGTGACATATATTTTAATCCTTTAAAAATATATTTGATTAAATCTGATCAATGAATTTTTCTTTTTATTTTTTTAGAACTTAATATAGGTTATATTTTGATAAAAAATAAATTAAACACACAAATAAGTAATAATATTTTTTTGAAAACAAAATATAATGAAGGAAGTTTAGAAAATCGACATTTAATAATTAATTGAATTTGAAAAATCAACTATATAATTTTATGTTTTTTTATAAAACACTATCTTTT